AGCATGTCTTAAAATGCCTGCCCAAAGAACAGAGAGGCGCCTCCCCTAACACCTGAAAAATTAGTTTTATATCCTTATGAGGATCATTTAAAGTTGGAAATATATTGGTTAAGTCACTATTTATAAAAATCTAAAAATAAGTATTTAATTACCCTTAACATCTAAGTTAGTTTATCTACCTATTAGGAGAGATAGCTGCCCTTGGAGCTCAAGTTGTTTATGCATTAGCTATGCACTCTCAAACTGTTGCTTATTAACATGCCTCTATTTGGATAGTTCTTTTCCTTTTAACAGGAGATGACAAATAATGTATGTTTAATAGCTGTCTGTTGAAATCTGTGAAATTGGGCTTCCATTAAAAAAATATTAAAAGAGTGGGGTGTTTTTAGCTAGTTGTAATTACTGTAATAAAGTTTCTTGAAACTTAACTATCTTAAAATTTGATTATTAAGCAAAAAGAAGCAAACCCACAGTCAGAGAATGGAGCTATTTATCCTGACTTGTTCTGTTCATTATTTGAGACCTAATGTCTCACTCTGACTTCTTTTCATGTGAGAGGAGGACACTTTTTCAACCTAAAAAGTTTTAATCAAAATTTGACTCTTAGTATGTAAGCGAAGTAGTTGAATAAAACAGAATGCTGAAGAAAATATTTCCGTCCCCTTCAGAATGCAGTACTCTATTTAAAAAGAGTTTGGGGCTCCCAGGCTGTTTCTTTGCCAGCATCTTCCATGGGCTGAGGGGCTTGACATCCTTTGAAAGCAGAGCCATAACTAGAATTAGCTGCTTTTATGCAATTAATTGTAACTCCTTGAACCAAGTCTAGGATTTGTCATAATTTCTATTGATTTAGATGTTGTTCTATTAGGAAGAAAGTGCATATAAAATCTTACATTCTGCTATACTTACAACTATTTCTATCTGTTTTCCACAGCTCACTCTGTGGGCTCTCTGGAGATTTACACACACTGGACACTTGTTTAGTAAGAGTACTAAATTGGTTTTCTGTCCTTCCTGGTAGAAAACCCCATGGCATGAAATGTATTTATAATCTAAAAGCCTTTGTCACATTTTGCTGAAAGTCAAATAGTTTAAGATTGTTGAAGGATTTGATAGTGTATGCCTTAATGGAGAAAAAAAAGAAAAGTCTTCCTTCAAAACATCAAAAAAAATTTTTTTTTAGTAAGGTGTCATTTCTTGAACTTTTTCTTTTAAATCCACTTGAATTAAGTACCCAGAGAAGTAACTTAAATGTAGTTGCAGCTACTTATTTTAAATTGGAATTACCTGGAGAAGACAAACAAGTGTTTGGTTTTTTCTTGTAAGAAAGGCGGTTTCCCTGTTAGAATATTAGCAAATACAAAGATAGTGAGAAAATTGTTTCAGCAAATATATTTGATAACAGAATCACCTACGTTTTAATGTAACATATTCTGAGTTTTGGATTTGGGAAGAAAAGTGAATTACTAATTGATTCTCAGTTTCAGCGCCTTGTAAGTATGTTTGGAGGAAAAAGCTGTCATGTTATCACAGGACACACATTTTCAAACTTACCACGCTCAGCCTGGCTTCATTTTTTCCCCAGTTAGCTAATCAAGGCTGATAAAGAATTGGAAATAGATTTTTGGTTTATTGTGGTCTGTTTTTTCTAATCTTACTTATCTTTCATTCACACATTTGTATACTTGACAGATGTTAATAAAATGTTTCTTTTGAACTCTACAGATACTATTCTATGAAAATTATCAGAACAGAGATGAATCTGTCCCATAAAAGACATTTTTACCACTTTGATCTCTGACAATTTGACTTTAATCCTGGTCACCATACACTGCCTTTCATTCTGCTTTCCGTTTACATCTGGCTTTTGTTCCAAACTAGCAGATAAAGCTAAGTGCTATTCAGTGTGAAATATTTCAGGCTGCCTATGCTAGCAGGTGGTGAATGGCATGGTATTGGCAGAGGTGTGCAGCCCAGTGCTGTGAGAGCTCAGTTGTTTGTGTATTGATCTGGAATTTCTGTTCTCCTGGGCCACTTCATTATTTCCAGGTCTCTGAAGCAAAAGCACTTGGTTCTATGAAGGATTATCTCTGCAGTGGAGAAGGTTATAGTGTTGTTAATTTTTGACATCTTTGGACTGCAGAGACGCCCTGGTTAAAAGTCATTAAAAGAGATGTGTGGTTTGGACTGGTGGGTCAGCTTCCTTGGACTTCTGACCCAGCTGGGAAGATCCCCCTTGTGTGTCTCTGTCAGTAGCCAGGTTTCACTGCCTGGAATGTGCACAGGACTTAAAATTCACTTTTCCTTTTCATGACTTAAAATATAAATGCATTTTCTTTACTTATAAATGCTGATGATTAATTGATTTTTTTTTCTTCCCTTTAAAAGTAGGCACTCTAAAGTTTTTGATTATCTAATTAACATGCAGTATATAGAGAATTTGGAAGGGGTTTTGTTTCTTAGGGGTGTTGAAAATGGGGTTTGGGGATTTTTGTTTGTTGAGGGGATTTTTGCTACTTTTTTGCTTTTTTACATTTTATTGCACATTGAGTGTGGCACACTGACCAAGATTTTTGTTCTGGAGTGTAAGAAAGCCTGATATATTTCTGACACTTGAAAAAAAATCTGTCACTGCAGATTTTAATCTGGGTTATGTTTAATTGTTAGTCATTTTGCAAAAATGGTTTTTACTTCAATTCAAAAATCTTAATCTCAAATGTGATTTTGCGTGTCACGTGTTGACATTTAGGATTACTTTGCCGATCTACCATCAATATCCACCTTACTGGAAAACAATCCCAAAGCTGCAGTCTGGATCCCTTTTTTTATTGCTGTTGTGTTCATCATTGCATGGAGCAGGGCATATTCCTGTCATGAGTGCATACTGATGTCGAGTTTTATTTGTAATCAGTTTTGTCCCTGGACATAAGCAGGAACTAATGCTTTCCATACCTAGTAGGGGGAATTATTCTAGATGTAGCCAGTTAAAAAAAATAGCCTGCTCCTTGCACTCTGAGAGTGTGTTCCCCATCTTCGCAAGTTCCTGTATGCTCTCTGTTGTAGCTCTGTTGTGCTTTGCACATCCCACTGAGTGCCTTACCCACCATGCTGGGAATTACTGCTGATTCTCCTGATTCACGTTTCTGAAAAGCCATGCTAGAGCTGGTTGGAGAGACAATAATCTATTACAATGGGCAGACAGAGACGTTAAGGTCATATAAAGTTCAAGTGTGAATCACAGGCCTTTATATTACGCATCTCCACAAAGAAGATGACTTACTTTGTCACTGAAAATAAAAGAAGCTAATTTATAGGTTTCTACAGTAAATGTGCTTTCTAAGCTCATGCGCTTTTGTTCTTGAGTCTGAATTGCATGGGGTAAAAAAATCTTGAGTTCAGAGGCTTTATGCAGTATATTAAAGCAAATTCTAAAACAAATTTTGTATTCCAAATGTTTATCTTGCAAATAAAACAGTCTGTAAAAAGTAACACTTGGAAAGAATCATACCAAATTGACTTATACAGAATTTAGGAAGAACAATGATCTTTGATCTGTTTTTGGATTTTAAGTGTGTCTTTACTTTCTTCAACCTTCTTTTATTCTCATTTCTGCCTGAGATATTCCACATACTCCTTTTGGCTTTCCTGATCTGAATTTCAGATGTGATCACATGCTGCTTGGTGCATTTGAAGCGCTGCTTCGTTTGTGTAGGCCAGCCCATTTCTGCATTCATCCAAATAGTTCTGAAATCTAATATTCCCTTGATGGGTATCTCTTGTATATGATGTGGTAGCTTAAAATAAGAATCAATTTGCCTCTCAACCTGCTTGAAGGAGCTGTGCTGTGACACATGGCTGGTAGTGTTCAAATGAGGCATCTGTGTGAGTTTGTCCTCTCTGCACAGAACTGTCCATTCTCCCCAGCTGCTGTTTTACTCCTCGCTTTTATCTTCAGTGTGTGGCCTCATGCCTTATCTGTCTCACACTATTGTGAGCCTGCCATGAACACCGACCTGTTATTTTTCTGTCAGTCGTGTCCTCCGTGTTTGTTGCTGAAGTCAGAGTGACAACCTTATGAGATGCAATAGAAATTTGCTGTCTGTGAAATAGGCATGTGACACAAGAGGGGCTCAAAAGTGACCACTGATTTTTGGATGCTTAATGTGAGATTACCCTGGGAATCTTTCTCCCTTCAGAAGGGAAAAGTACAAGTCTAGCACTTTAAAGGAGGAAGGGCAAAATTCTGCTCCAAGTAATACCTTGGAAATAAAACAGGCGCACAAAAAGAGAGACATAGTTAGTGGGTAAGGATGAAACAGCAGGTTTGAGTAAAATGCCTTGTATTTCACTGGCATTCTGTGGAAGAGTCAGGTCTGGGAGCTAATTGCCAGGCTTAGTGTTCAGCTCTGAAAATAGAAGAGCCTTTGATCCCCCTTGTCTTCCTTGCAATCCCCTCCCACATTCACTGCATAGTTTTAAACTTCTGCAATGAGTGAAGTGGGCATCTGACAGACAACAGCGTTCTTCTCATATACACTCTTGATTTGTCCCTGGAGAGAGTCTGTAATGCTCACTGGATGTGGCAGATGTTCTGCAGAGTGAGCAGTATCAGAAACTTAATAGCTATACCATAGGGCATATACTGAAAGGTGTTTTAAGATGGAAGGGGCAGCTGAAATGAAACTGCAAATCTTAATATTTTTTTTTTTATCTTTAGAATCAGAACCCTTAAATAACTTAATAATTCTTTCATGACATCATAGCAGTAGAGGAACTGACCTCTCTCACAGCATATTCTTGCCTGCCTTAGTGTCCCAGGTTTCCCGGTTGCAGCTGCTTAGGTTAAGGTTTCGTGGATATATGTCACCAGATGTTTGTCCTCAATGCTCAGGCTGCTGCTGTGGGATACCAGGTCCACAAGTGAGAGCTTTTTGATTATCATGTGCACCTTTGGATGTAGCTGTAAAACCTTACATTCTTTAATATTGCTTTTTTTCTAGGTCAGCCAAGCCTCCGAGAAGCTCTCTCGATGTCATGTATAACCAACGGGAGTACAGGAAACAGGAAAACAAGCCACAGTTCATCTGTTTCTGTTGCCAGAAAAGAAACACTTTCATCTGCTGCTAAAAGGTATCTAAATTGTTATTAAAATTCAGACTTTTATATATTAAAAAAACCAAACAGGTCAAACAGAGTTTGATTTTTGTACCTGCACAACGCTCAGCAGAGCTGCCTGAAGTCCAGTAAGGCACAAATAAACTTTGGCGGTTTAACATGTTGTTGGGCTGTGTACAGAAGAGTTCTAAAAAGAATTCAGAAATGGAGAGTATTTCTGTGGTGTGTAGTGTCCAAAATGAATTCTCACTAAGGGAATAGGAAAATGTATTTCCAGTACAAATGGAAAATTTTTCCTTCTGGTATTCATATGTGCTTTTTTTTGTTGTTTTTTTGTCTTCCCTCAAGGAAATTAAAGGGCAAAACTGACTTCATTGTCTGGAGTGTAAATAGTAGGCAATAGCGAAATAACTATGAGACAATAGTAAATTGTGTAAGATAAGGGTTTACATTTTTGGGTAGAAAATCTAACCCAAAATACAGCTACTTAGTCCTTATGAAAAATATCTGTATCAGATGTCAAATGTGAAGAAATTACATTGCTTGAGTAATTTAAGTTAAACGAGCTAGGAACTAAACAGTAGTGGTTTTCCTCCGTGTAATACTTTCAGCTTCACTCAGTAAATGAAATGTTTTCTTAGCTGCTTTTTTCTGTGAGTGTGTTAGCCAGTGATTGCATGGCTTCTTCAGCAGTAGGTTTTGTACCTATTCTTGTTTGTTGTGAAGAACAAGCTGCCAGATATAGCCACGGGGCAGAGAATACTCTAATGTGTAACTGTGGTAAGTTATGTGAACAAATTCTTGGCCTCTGTAGAGTACCAGTAGCTGGTTTATCTTCTAGTGTGGATGTAAATATTGTGCTGTGCAGCAAGACAGGGAAATTATATACTTCAGAGAATAAAAATGCTGCAAGCAAATATAAACTGTATGAAAACAAACCAGAAGAAGCTCTAGTGCCCTTTGGAATTTGGAAAGTGAGGGTAATGCCCTGCTCTTTGCTCTTCTCTACTGTGTAGCATTGCATAACTTTATTTTTATCAAATTCTTACATTTACTTTTCAACAATAAATCAGACAAGGATCAGTGTATGTCTCTATCTGCTGGTGCAACAGGCACAGGGACAAGAGACATTCCTGCAGGAAGGTATTTCTTAGTTAACACTTTTCCATTAGTCTTAGCCCTGTGGCTCTTGGCACTTTGATGAGAGCCAGTCCGGTTCCCGTGGTGTTCAGCTCTCATTTGTGCTGAATCACCTGCTTGATTCATTGGCTGCTCAACCCTTGACTGCATAAGAGGAGCAGAGTGGAGTGGCCGGCATCCCTTTCATCTGAGTTAAGTTCTTTAAAAGGAGACCTGGATGGGCCAAAGGAGAAAACCTTCATTTGCAGAGGGCAGCTCTCCCTGGGCCCCTGATTAACTATCCAGGGGAGGTGTTGGTGGTTCCAGTGCAGCTGAAGACACACGACTCCCTTCATCAAGACATGTTTTAGAAAGGTTTAGGAAGTTCCTGTTTACAGGAGTTCCTTTGTCATGTCTTTTTTACTTAAATTTGTTTGCTATTTGCAAGAAACAAATTTGCCCTTTTGTAAAATTACCAGCTCAAGAAAGGGGAAAGGAAAGGCAAGTAAATGTCAATAGTAGTCCCATCTGCTTGCAAAGGCAGAGTAACCACGTTTATTTCTAACATTTGTTGTGTTGAAAAGGAAGGAGGCCAAAGGAGACTGGAATGTTTCACCCCACCTTAACCAGGCCTTTCTTCAGGCTGAAGCTTGAACTGGTGCAGCAGGTGGACAAGGACATCTGTTGATAGAGAATTAACCTTTAGGTTCTATGTAGACCCCGTAGCCTGCCTAGGACTTCTCATGTTCTAAGTGTATGCAGCCATACATCTGGCCTAAATACCCAAAGGCCTACTTGTGTCCAAACTGTAACTGGTGTTGAAGTTCAGTGTGTGAATTTCTTCTATGAATGAGCAGTTTCATTTCCTGGACTGTTTAATCTTGTCCTATGAACCTGAACATTGAGACCATGGATATAATCACCTGCCTCAGTAGCTCCACAGCATTAGGATGTCTCATTTCAGCAATGGCATGCTAAAAATACCTGCAATCACAAAACTCAGAGCCCAGGAATGTTCCCTGAACAGCAGGTACATGATGACCCATTAACAGAGATGGAGTCATGAATGTGTTGAGAAAATTTCAACCCTGTAGTTTGGACTGGAAACAAAAACCAACCAGTGACTGTCAGAGACCTGTTTGATAATTTTCCTTAAGACTAAACAGCATCTGATAACAATAGTCTTGATGTTTCAGAGTGACCACGGTCCCCAGTACATGCCAGTGTGTTGTGGTCCAGAGGATGAAACACTGTACTAAGTGAAATTAGAGAAGCTGAAAATCAGGACAGATAGTAATAGCTGTCAACTACTCACTTGTAGACTGAAGAAATGCCTCATCAAATTTGGTTTTGGAAAGAATTTTTGGATGCATTAAATGACTACTTCCCAGAACAACTAGTCTTTAGAAACCCACAGGAAAAGACACTGGTTTTGATTTGATTTCAGCAGTTACACAAGACCTACTAGAAGAAGTATTAGTGGGAGAGCCACTCTGTACTAGCCAGTCATAATACAATTAAGCTGAAGATTTTAGCAGAAGTGAGCAAACCAAATAAATTCAAAGCAAAGATATTCAGTACTCAGACTGCCACATTTCTGCATTATTTCCTTCCAAATGAAAATGCCAGTCACAAAAGAAGCCTTCTTGCAACCTGGTGGTAAATGAAAGCACTTTGTTGAATTCCAAATGTACCTTGTGCTACAATCTAGAGTGAAACCAGAGTGGTCCAGTGATTCTCATGGCCCAACAGAAAAGGAGTGAACCTCATGGCAAAGAAATGGATAATACACAGTGACAAGCTCAGTGACGATATTCCCATGCCAAATCTGTGGTTTCTGGGAGACAGATCCGATGAGTTTGGGTAGGAACACAGAAAATATGAGACTGAGCTGACAGGTTATATGCTGCTGTCAGCAGGTGGCATTCACCTGAGCCTGCTGGGGGAGTGCAGAGGTGAATTGCAGAGTTGCTGAGGTGTCACTGTTCAATAGGACATTACAAAAAGTGATGTGTACCTATCATAGTAGGAATAGAGAGGACTTCTGTTTGCTTCAGTGAAAAGAGAATCCGAGAATTTATTCACTATACTGAATTTCTAGCAACAGAATGCAGAAAGATTGAGTGTAGTATGCTTTGCGTCCAGCAATACGAGCTAAGTATTCCGATTAAAAAATAATAATAAATTTCTGTGCTACCAGTTAATTAAGGACCTTTGGCTATAAATTATTAATGAAAACCCCACAGTTCTCCAAGCTTTGCTCTCTGTGATCACATATACGCCCTCAAGGAATGTGAAAGCTCTTTGTTTTGTTTTCATCTGTTTTTTTTTTTTCAAAGAAAATGTCACTGTGATGGATTATATTGACATTTTGAACTAGATAGTATGTTTTACAGTAGAAATCCTGAGTGATCCTTACAGATTTGTCTGGGTTTCATATTCATGTTTTGACCTGTTTTTCAATGCATCTCTTCTCTGAAAGCAGTTGGAAAAGTTGAACTCCTATAAGCCTTGGGGGCTTTGTCTCAGTGGTAGATGATACAATTTAACTGAAGTAACAAAAGAAGCAAAAAAAAAAGTTCCTAAGAAAGATATGTTACAATTGGGTGCCTATATTTTTTTGATTTTGAATGACGCTTTACTGTTTTCTTTGTGTTTTGGGAAAGGGTAAATAGAAATACAAATAATTATGGTAATGCAAGAATTCAAGGTGGGGGGGAAATTGTTATGAGGGGAAAAAAAAATTGGATTCTCATGTTCAGAAAGATACTCTTTCTTTTTTACTTTGCAGGTTACTTTGACCCTAAGATAAAAATCTTTCTATTACCTTTTTAGCTGTTATTTCTATCTTGCTTTATTTATTCACTGAAAAATCTATGTTATAAGATATAATTTTTTTACCTTAAAAAAAATAGGCCATGCACTTGAGAGTACTCTTCTCTTCCAGGTCTTGATATTGTTTGTGTGATTCAGTATATTAAAAAGTATGTGACTTCATAGAAGAGCCTTTTAATTAATCTTTCTGTTTACCTAGCAAACATTTGGTTTGGGTCTTAATAGATTTAAGTTTGGTAATGATATGTATTTAAATCTGTTTCAAGTATTAAACTAATAACTACAGCACTATGTAAATAAAGATGTGTTCTTGGCTGTTGTGGCTGAAGGCATTAAAGAAGTGGCAAGACAATCTGATATTAGTCAACTGCAGATCAAATCAGCCAGGAGTTTTCAGGGATGGTTTCCTTTGAACTCCGGTGCAGCCAAGGAGAGCCCAGGGACTAGCAGCAGCATTCCAGGGCTTTGGTGGCAGCTCTAAGATAACAGCATGGATGCCCACAAATACACTTTCATGGTGGGCTTACACTGAGGAGAGACAGCACAAGTGACAGTCCTGCCTTGACTTGCACTGAACCCTGGCTGGCAGCACAACAATGTGGTCAGCAAGCTCTGAAGCAGAGGATGGTTTTGTCCTGAGGGACAGCAGATTTGTGGGGCATCAGTTTGTGTCAGCTTTGAATGCTGATGGGGAACCTGTGAATGAAGGACACACTCAAATCAAACTTGTAATAATTTTAAAATCATAGCTAACATAGTACAGCAGAAATATGTAAGTTATCTTCCATGTCTCCCTGACTGTTTTTTATTGTTGGAACTAGTGGATAAACCTTATTTCAGCAAAATGCTAACATGAAAAATAGAGTAAATAATCATGGTGTTCTTTTGGCGGTTGTTTATAGGAAGTTGTTAAATGCCTCTCCCGTCTTTTCACAGAGGACATTTTCTCCCACCTTGCTAATTTATTTGCTTGTTCTCTTTTTTCCCTCCCTATGTTACATTTTCTTTTACAGTGGTACAGAAAAAAAGAAGGAAAAACCTCCAGGACAAAAAGAAAAAAAAGAGGACTCTCATTCTAATGATCAAAGTGCACAAACTCAAGCATCACCTTCTCCCCAGCCCTCCTCACAGACTCTCCAAACACACAGGCAAACTCCAGAAAGCAAGAGTTCTGCTCCAGCTAAAAGGTTTTCACAGTACCACAGTACAGAACTAGAAATTACTGTAATGATACCGAGTTCATATTTGACAACAAGTCATGTGAAATAGTTCTAATCTCATGATCAAGCTGAGGTTTGATCCTTTTTTCTGCTAGAGGAGATGCATTCAATATGCATTGCAGCAGAACAAATACGTAAAAATGCATGTTTTTCTTTGAATCTATTTTTGAGATTACAGAGATTTTTTATTCTCAGATTAAAATCCTAATTTTAACAGTAGAATACCTCTAATCAGCCATGATTGTAAAGTATATAATGATCACTCTGACTTGATTATTCTCAAATACACTTCATATATTTTGTCTGACATAGCTGAATTATGGAGTGTATTTTCCACACGGCCATTCTTATGTCTCATATCAGTATTTTTTAAATACTAGTATCATTGCAACTCTTGGTTCAGAAATTTTTACTCTCAAATTACTCCATAAAGTGACTGCAGTTCTGTTTTTGTTGGTGTATTTTTTTAATGCATGGCCCTTCCCTTTTTAATTCCTGCTAGGTTGCAGGATGGCTTTACTTTCATTCTTTACATGAGTGAAGTTCTGGTTTTATACCCAGATCACAGAACTACTTGATTTGAGTAAATGCTGAAATTTATTTAGGATAGCCTCTTCAGTTCCCACTAATCTTTTGTGGGAATTGGGCACAGGGGAAAAAAAAGGTAGATTTTAGAGATTCTAGATTGCATTTTGAAGTCCAAAAAATGGCCTTTAAGTTTTGGATCATAGCTTCTGAGTTTCAAAACTATGCAGATCACCTGGCATAGTTTATTTTTGTTTTGGTTGGTTTTTTTTTATTCGTTGTCACCTTACTGTTTTGGAAGGTGTGCATTTTTATTTTTTTTACTCTCTGGCACTTAGAGACTGAAACAAAATGTAAATTAAATTTATTACTCTGAAATTTACCCATTTGGTTCACAAGATTGTTGTCTTGCATCGCTTGAATTCACAGCTCTTATAAATATTTAAACTTCCACTTGACTGGTGCATGTTATAACACTCCATAAAGGCTCTGTCTCCATGTCTTGCACAGACCTGTGAGTTGTCTGAAGCTGAACTTGCAGCCTGTTATTCTCTTGCCTGGTATCTCCCTGTAAAGATGTCTGAAGTCTTGCTTACTAATCTTTTGCAGTGTGGGGAAAAATAAATGCCTTTTTCTGTCTCCTAAGGGTTTAACTTGATTTGATTAACTTGTTTGTCACAGGACTTTTGAGCCTCTTGAGGTGCTGTAGAAGGAGCTTGCCATTTCTAGGGTTGCATTTCAGGACTTAACTCCTGCAAAAAGCATTTCTGACAGGATGAAGTGTGATACTATTAGCAAGACGTGCAAACTCTCAATCAGCTGGGCTAGGTAACTTTTTGAGCATGTGTTCTGTGATTAAGTCACATGTGAAGTTACTGAACTAGTGACTGCAAAATTTGCAAGTTCCCATTAGTGTAAATTGGCTGCAATGAGATTGCTGAAAAATTACATCCGCATTCATGGATTTAATTGTCTGTAGTCTCAGGCCAAACCTAGCTTGTCTTACTCAAGCAAGAGGTTTGCAGACATTTGTTTCAAAAAGATTAAAGCCATTAATGTGATTTAGTATGTGCTAACTGCAAAGCTTCTATATGAAACTCTAATCTGATAGAACTGTTCTGCCTCAAAATCAATGTGCTTAAGCTGGTGAACAGTTAATCAGGGAAAAAAATACATTGTTATCTGCTTAATTGATTTTTTAAATATAGTTTATTCTTTAAGGCTTATATACTTAGCCTCATTTTTTCCGCTACTGTAATTTGTTAGGGATGTAGTAATGAAGTATAGAGTTATTTTGTTCAAGTCTTTATGTAAGAGCATTTGGAAATGGAAAAGAATAGATAAAACATGTGGCAATTGTCTTGCTCAATTGTGTTCATTCATCCAGTTAGAACTTTTTGACTAATCTTTTTTCCCTGTTACATGCTGCAGCTTGAAGGAAGATCTAGCTCTGCTTTTGTCTCCTGCTGCTTGATCTGTCCATTTGCATACGAGTTCCAGTTATTGTTACACTATTATCTTGTAATTGTAAAACTTTTTTTTTTTTCTTCTAGCATAAAGAAATCCTTGACTGTTGAAAAAGCTCACGGTGCTTGGGAGAGTTCAGATGACAGTCGTAACAAGCTGATGAGAGTAGCATCAACGTCTAAGTTAATATCAAAAGTGGCAAAGAATGCAGACAAGTATGTATTGGTTTGGTAATAAAGGCAAGAGAACTTGAGAGTCAAAATATTATGAAATCACACAATTCTAGTGAACTTACTGGTGTATATTATAGGACCTTTTGCATCTTTGTTTTTACTATGAGTACTTACATAACGTGCCAACGAGTTTTTACTATGAGTACTTACATAACAGTTTGTTGCTCTGGGTGCTCATGGAATTTTAAGATTATTATAAAGTAGTTCTTGTGTAAATATGTTTTAATATTGCCTATTTGGATTAGCAGAATTATGACCTTTTATGGCTTAATGCCAGTGATATGAAACTTCCAGCTGTTTTTTTCTTCTTTTCCTAATTAAAGCTGATTTGAAAATGCAAGTGCATTTCCTTGGAGTCAGTTCCTGGATTTCACATAGGATATGTTTCTGTAGACTGTCATAGTAGGAATATATTTCTATGATTTCAATAGGTCTCTCAATTTAACTGTTTAGTAGGTTCCTGGTAGCACATTCTGATGACAGGCAGGGATCTTTTTTCAGTGTCACCTTCAGCAGGTGATGTGCTCTAGCCAGCTATTCCTGTCACACCTTCCTCAGCAGCAGGTTTTCTTGGTTTGGGGTCTCCAGTCAGTGCCTCTGGGGGTGAGTAGCACAGAGTAGTCACTCCTGCTCCTGTTAGCACAGGGATGAGATTTTGCTTTTTACTGTAGCCCCACACTGTTGCCTCCTGTTGTGACCCACTCTTGTCCTCGGTACTCTCTGCCATTTGGGTTTCCCACTTTGTATTCACACAATTTCTCTTCTTGACTTTGTTGAAATTTTGCTGAAATTGTGTTGATTTTTTGCCTGATTCTTCTTATGGCAATATCCCCCCAGTGTGCTGGCAGATTCTACCACCGGGGTGTTGTCTGCAGATTCCTAGATCTGCTCATTAATCTTCATGCTAATGGCCTTTAGCTGGTTCAGGGCAGAACTACTTGAAAACCCGTCCCATTCTGAAATAAAGCACTTCAGACCTTTCAGAGGTCTGAAGTGCTTTATTGCCAGGTTTTTATGATTATGTCTGTAGTGCTTTCCCTAACTTGGATCTAAGACTGTCAAATACCTAGTCAAGAGTGGTGCAAGTGCATTCCTTCTTCCCTGGGAATGGGAAGAACAAAACAAACTAATCTTGGGTGTGGATAGCGGCACATTTATTAAAAGCTTTATGCTTAGCCTGAAGAGTTTTGCAGAGCAGTGTAGTGCTATGTGTGAGGGGATTATGTGTTACATATTTTGCAAGTATTTCCTTTCCTTTTATAATTGGTTTTCACTGCTGGAATTTAAAAGCCCTTTGGCAATTTAGATTATAGCATGGCACTGCTGGATAATATTTTGGAATGACAAAACCCTCTGCCTTGTTTTTTTTGCTGAGCTTTTTGCTATGCTGCTAAAATACCTTTTGCAGTGTAATACATATTTCAAATTTGCTAAAAGTAAAAAATAAATTTTACTTTTGTTGATACTTTATATATTGGTCCAGACATGGTCAAAATAGAGGTATTTTATTTCATTTTTCTGTGATTCTGGTTATTTCTGAGAGATCTCAAATGTTGCCCTTCTACAGTCTCTAATGGAGAATAAAAGTCAGTTATCAAACAAAAGCATGGAGAAGAAAAGATTAGTTTTAATTATTGATAGAGAAAGCTGTCTGTTCATAACTTGAGGCTGTTGTATCTTAACTATATTTGGCAAAAACAAAACCTCAAACATGAATTGTAGACCACCACCTTGAAGTGATGCTTGAAGTGTGGGTGTTGTATTGTTGTGTTCCTTGTTCTTAAGCTGAGATTTGTAACAGAGGCACTGTTTGCATACAAAGACATACATCAATAATAATTTTTTATTGACATTGTGTGCCACATCTCCATAAGAACTAGTTGGTATTGAGCAAAGATGTATTGTTGTATTTAATTTTTTGTTCCCAATTAGAAACATTGACCTCATCTGCTTGAAGCTGCGGAGGTCTTGTGCAAGGGAACAGAGCTCAGCCCCTGATGTGGCCCCAGGACAGAAATGTTTTACATATGCTTTGCACTATCAGCCCAGGATGTGAACTTTGTTTATGCAGCTCGGTCTGTAAGGCAGCACAGGACTGTAAATCAGTCTGATAAGGCCCTAAGAAGGAAGAAGGTTCCTATGCAGCCCATCATTCAGTTGTTTTCAGGCAAGACTGGGAATCCACTTTAAGTTTTTCACTTGGCAGTGTCGCAAAGGGTGATTCCACCAACAGCCAGAGATTACTTTCCTCATGCATATGCTTGACCCTTTGTCGCTGTTACAAAAATTTGACCTCCATCCAGCTAAAAATACTGGATGCCGCTCATACCTTTCTGCTGAATTTCAAATGAATTCAAGAAGGTGTTTCATGCAGCGCCTTCTTCTATCAAGGAGTATTATTCTGTTAAAAAGTAGCTCTGACGCTGGAAATTAGTGTTTCTTCCCTCTTCACAATATAAAAAATTACTGAATTTTTTATGAGTAACTCATTTCTGGCTCTGGTAAGGAGAGATAGCTCAACTACGCTCTGTTGAAGACTTGATGTTGCACATCCAGTAATGCTGCAGAGATCTGGTTTAAGTGAAACTGCAACTTGTGCAACTTGCTTACATTTAATCCATGTGTCCAACAAAGTTAATTCCTAGAAAAAATTGTGCTGTTGTGTGCTGACAGCTTATTTTGACAGGTGTTAAATGCTTTGCGTGCAGGCCTGAGGATATTTGGCAGCTTAAAACATTTGGTTATTACAAGTTCTCATTCTCAAAATGGAATTTTCTGTGCAAAAGGAACATGCCTTCTATAATTTATTTTTAAAAGCTTTTTTAATTTTGTAATTTTCAGAGTAATTCTTAGAAGCCCTTCCCACAGGGCCAAAGACTAAATTACTTGAAAAGTACAGTGAGCTGCATAGAATAATATATGAATAAAAATGCACTACAATGATCAAGATTAGCTGTTGAGCATCATATGCTACAGTTGCATTGTACACAGAATCTGATGAGATTGCCAAATGCAGTAATGGGTAAAAATGGATGGTATTGCCTTGATAAGCATTTTGCATATTATTAATGATAATATTTTGAATTTTTCCACAGGCACAAAGATGTTGTTGTCAGCCAAGGTAAATAAAAACATTTATTTTTAAATACTGGATGAAGTTGAAAATATTTGCTTTTGACTGAATAGTATTTCCTGTAAATGAATGCATTGGGACATATGCTTATGAAACAGGGGTTTAGAGGTAAAATGGCATTAATCAACTCCAAGAATTCATTTGGCAAAAAAGTTACTCCAGACACGTATATGAATCTTTAAAATTGTGGAGAAATATCTCATCAGATTGGATCTTTAGTAAGTACAGAAGTTTTTGGTAGGTGCGTGGTGGGAGGATTTGATTTATTTTTGTGAAACACACAATTTTCTAAAAGTGATTTTCTCTATGTATATGTGCATAGAGAGAGATTATAAAAATAAAAATCTAAAATTTGACCTATGTGCCAGTCTTCATCCAAGCAGATGTGAGTGAGACTTTGGAAATAGTTTTAAGATATTTTATTTCTGTCCCATAACTAGCAAAAATGTCAACTCGTGAAAAAAACAGCCAAGGTAAGAATTAAGCTATGCCCTTTGGTCGCTTTCTTCTAATTTAGCACTCTCACAAATCTTTTATTTGGCTTTTCACCATCAAAGAGCATCAGTCTCTTAATCATTCTCTTAATATTTCAACTCTCTTCTCATGGAAATTTATATGCATATGCACATTGCAATCTGTATGGGGACTATTTGGGAATAGTTAAAATAAATTATGGCACACATAATTTCATTGGAGAGGAATATGTGTTCACATAGAAGTCTTGCATTGTTGCCCAAGACGACAGAGTATTAAGAACTGCCAACTAAAAGATTTGTTTTATCTCAGCTTTCTGTCTTGCCAAAATTACAACATATAAATGCTGATTAGACAAGAACAGAGACTGAAGGTTTTAATAGTCTCCTGAAATGAAAAATGGGTCTCTTCTGAAGTGTATGTCTTTGCACCAATGAATCTTGCATTCTGTGGCTACCTGCTGCTGCTGGCTTGTTCAGTCAGGAAAAGGAACATTGTGGGATGTGGCAACAAAAGAAGTCCAATTCTGGTGTTGCAAAATTGCTCTGCTTTGAATGTACTGCAAACTGTACTGAAGCATGCAGTTTCAAAACTAAAGCATGTAACTGAGTGCATGCTGCACACAACAGATCTATGTACAGGGGTTTTGTCTTGTGCTTTTTTGCTGCTAATTAAAAAATCTGTAGTCTTCAGATTCTGTGCTGCCAGCAAGTTTACGTTAGTCACATTTTGATTGCTTTTGGTCTCCTTCAAAAAAGAAAAAAAAAGCCCTCTGATTTTTTGAAAGTTAATATATGAATTGCTGGAATAAAAGCAAAAAGCAACTTGGATGCAATTGCTTTACCTTTTTCTAGTTCACAGAGAAATTACAGGTATAAAAATATTCTGAACTGATTCTTACCAAAAGCATCTTCAGAGACAGGATGTGTGAAAGGGAATGAATAACTATCAAGAACAAAGAAGAAGTGTTTCATTATGCCATGGTGCTTAACACCAGCTGTAGAACAGTACATATGTGCAGCACTGGCTACTGTATAAGGAAAGCTAATCAGTGGTGGCCAGACCAGCTGCAATTTAGCTTTGCAAGTTTTTGACTAAAATTATTATATTAAAAATGCCTTTCCTAGTAAAAAACAACTTTTCACAAAACCGAGTTATGTATAGCTAAAATACCTTCAGTACTAAGTACTTTCTTACAACATGCTTCTACAACTCTGCTTGTTCTGCCCAAAATGGACCATCCTAAAGTTCTCTCATTCTAGTAGCTGTAACTTCAGTGGCCTCAATGTGCTCCCTGTCTTCTGTGTCACTGTGCAGAGGGTGTGATGCATGGGCCCCTTCCAAGTGTGTCAGGCCATAGTCTGTCCTGAGCCTAACTGGAATCAAAGAGAAACACGATGCAGATAACAGGGCCCCACACATATGGCAGGTGGAGGGAAAGTCTTGTCATAGAAAATGCATTTGCTCCATTTTAAATACATGGAGTGGCAAAACATAGTTCTGTCTCTATCATGGATGCAGATATAGTTAGAAGATTCAAAGTTGTTTTGAGTTTTTTTGTTGTGGTTTTTTTTTTTTTTTAGTTTTGTTGTTTGTTTTTTTTTTAATATGGACAATTGAATGTAGTTTTGACATGTTTTAGAGTGTGTGTGTGAGACTGTTAGCTTTTATGTTGTGTTTGCTGCCACAGCAAAAAGCCTGTGTAGGTTGCTGTTGCAGCAGGTTCACCCATCCTTCCCAGTATCCGCTTAGCAGTACTTGGTCACTTCTCCATCAGGGCAGATGGCTTTAGCCTGGTTTGTACTTGGGAATTGCCACATGAGTAAAACAATGTCCAGTTGGCACTTTGACCCAACTGGTCAGGAAGCTGAAGAGTTGCACAGTTAGGATCATGTTTCTGAGGTAATCCTGTGGACTTGGACAGTTTTGTCTTGGATAGCGTGGGATGAAGAGTTGCCCTTGCTCAGGGTGTTTGTACAGAAACTTTCTGTTCTGGAAGGCAAGGACACAGAAATTTACAGCTGCTTTAATGTTCCGTTGTGGTTTGCCAGCCTTTGCCTCTAGGGGTGAGCAGTCTCTAGCATGGTGTTAATTAAGTTACAACAGCTCCCCTGAGCTGCTCATTTCACTGAACACTGTGTAAAACACCGTGTATGCTCCCAGCACTCATCTCCCATAAGGACTGCATCCATGTTCTTCCTAGATCTAGAAATTCTGTGAAGGAGGCTCTTGGGAAAACTGCTGGTGTGCAAACTGCCAAGCTTCAAAGCAAATCTACAGTAAAAATACATCAGTGTCTTTATACACAGATAAAATAAGTTTGGAATCACTGTGAAATTGCAGATTTTTATAGCAGAAGGTGTTTGCACAGGATAATGGGATGGAAGATGACAATTTTGTGCTGCTTTGAACATCCTGGAATCACTTTGTTTCCTTTTTTGATTCAGCTAATAAAAACCAGCTTTAAAAATGTTGGTGTGGTATAGTACCACAAAATACAGCTGAGCACATTTTTGCATGCTTAGCTCTCGGAATATAATTTTTCTAGCAGCAGAAGATACTGCAATTATATCTGTCTTCTGATACTCTGTAAATTCATTGTGGTTTCTGTTGGTGTTGATATTAGCCATTAAAGTGATAGACTTGGGGAGCAAGTGAGATTCATAGCTGAGCTTGAGCAGTGAAAGGCATTAGCTGTGGTGTCAGAATTGGCTGTGGTTTGGTGTGGAGTCCCCCAGAGAGTGCTGCCTGTAAATGTCAGCAGGACCTAGGCAATTCTCTTCTCCTGCCAGGAGCAGCAGCAGCATGGGCAGCCACAGCCTGCAGCTGCCTTGTGGGCAGCCACTTGGTGTTTTTTTTAGTTTATCCCCATGCCAAAGCCACAAGTGTTGCAGTGTCACCTCGTACCTTCTCAGTACCCATTTTGTTCCATCATGACTTTATCTCTCCCACTCAGGTTGAATTGCGTATGCTTCAAGTAACGTTAGTCCTGAGCTTTAGGCTCCTGGTTATGTGCTGCAGCAGAGGTCATAGGGTCAGTTTGTTTGTTTGTCCTTGTAAACCACCAACTTTTTTACAGTAAAATCCAGTTCTAAAATTCTGTAAAAATCCAATAAAGCTAAGGGTGAAAGGAACAGGTGCTTACTACAGCCCTCAAAAGACCCTAACTAAAGTTACTCTTTTAAATTCTTTACCAGCAGGTGTTTATAATTCCCTATTAAAGCCATCTTGCTTCTCACTTCAGCAGAAACATTTTTTGAAGTATTAATCATAAGGCATTCATATTTTTATACCCAGAAGTTAAAGACCTGGCTTATTTTGAGATAAAAGGTAATTTATTTCCTTGAGATTGTGTGTTTGAGTTTGGTTTTCAGTGATAGCAGCTCCATATATGAATCACTTCTTCACTTATTATAAAGTAATAAGAGACACTTAAACTTTTTGGATGGCAGTAAAAACCATATGTGAAAGAATTAATGAAAAACATGTACTGCATTCCTAAGTTTTTTGGTTGCCTTTTCCTTTTTCTTTTTTTTTTTTTTTAATTGTGCTTTTTTAGTTTTCAGTACTTTTTCTTCTGTTAGTTTAACTGTGTTATAGTTTTAGCTTCACAGACAGAGCAAGTGTGGAGCACACAATGGAAAAAATGTGCTCTGCTGACAATGCATGCTGTCTGCAGAGAGTGCAGAATTCAGTGGCTACCTCAGACTGCTTTTTCATTAGAAAGTGATTTTGTATCAGGCTGTTGAAGGTGCTGCTGTACCTGAGAGCAAATGGAGACCCCCATCTATCATTATTGGGCTTCTTGCTCTTGTTCAGGCACAGTGCATATTATTAAAAACAATCAGTACTATCACAAAACCAAATTGTGTACTTGGCAGTTTTTATCACTGATTCTTGGTGAAGTCAGGATTCTATGATTTAAGCAGGAAGCATTTAGATAGATTCTTATTGAGCTTGTTTGAGTCCAGTATTGCTTGTTTAGTCTTTGTTTTTCCTTTATAAAAAGCTAGAGTTTAATATTAAACTTCAATTGTTTCAGTGCTAATGGTAGCTGTTGATAATACCTAGATTCATAATGTCACCCAACAAATAAAAAAGCAAAGTTCATTTATCAGATTATGTAAAATTAATAGCCAAAGATCTGTTAAGAAATTTCAGGGCAAAGCTGTAAAATCATTCCAAATCAGGACAACTCTCTTGTCTCATCTATTGTATTTGGCTGTTTGGCTGGCAGTGCACCAGGGCTCTGTAACAACAGTGCATGTCTGTCTGTCAGGTTCAGCAGGCATTGGCACATGATAGCTTGGGGTGAGAGATGGCAGAGCTGCAGGCACATGGGAATTCCACTGTGAGGTTGAGTGTAACAGTCTGGGCTTGGTGGCTGAATTTGGGTATTCATCTCTGCGCTGTTAGCACTGGTTTAAATTAGAAACAGGCTTCTGAGCTCTTGTCCCTCAGGTTAGTGGTCCTGCAGAGTTCTTGGACACAGGCCTGAAAGCAGAAGGCTTGTGGGAAAGAAGCTATTTGTAGTTTTAAAAAGCATAGCTTCACTGGTCAAGCAACTAGAAGGTGAAGACAGATTAATAAATGTACCCTGGATGTGGTAGTTTATTGTATATTATTAGAGTGTTCTGCATGGCTAAGCTAGCTGGAGTCTTTTGGGGTTTTTCATTTGCCTGTAAATCACTTTAGGGTGCTGCTACACATAAATAGAACTGAGCTGGGGTTTTAATGCACCAGCCTATGTTGAACTTTCAAACTCGAGGGGGTGGGACCTACTGAAAAATAGTCAGTAATAATTTACAAAATTACTGTAATAATTCCTTTAGAACTAAACTTCTCTGTGTATGTATATAATCTACCATATGCTCATTAGACGTGCCATTATGTACACACTTGCTGGCTGAAGAGCAGTTAATTACAGCACAGACTTGTGGGGCAACCTCAGTGTCTTGTCTCATGAGGAATAGTATAGCGTAAAATACATTCTATAATA